ATAACTGAATAAATAAATATTATCTAACGACAATTTGTTCCAGAAAGATATGACTTTTACCATTCTATTTAGATATGTCAATCAATACCCTCGATAACAAGAAAAAATTCGATTAAAATTACATCAACATAAATATTTGCCAATTGGTCTAATCAGCAACCGCATTGCGTCATGTTGGACAATTCAACCCTAATTACAAAAATCGTGTCACGAATTTAGAGCCTCCCCCGAACTGTACATTATTCAGTCCCGGAGTTTCCGGAGTAAAATGCGGACGCCTAGTGTTCAATCTTCGAAGCTCTCAAGTCGCCTGCAGTATACCCAGATTGAGTTTGGTCGTTCGCTACTAGATAGCGCTGTTCGTTAAAAATTCGTTGGAAATCCAATTTAGAGTCACATATAATTAATTTTCTTAAGTGGCCAATTACGTTTGGATTTAAACAACAGGTGCTGGTCCTGTCGGATTTTGTAACAAATTGCTGCAAAATTTGGATTCTAGGTGATAATCAAGTGTGCGCACCTGCGCCAGGTGTTGCCTTCTCAAACCTGTCTCCGATTTGTGCGGCGGGGGGCGGATATGCACCCCCGGATGCAAATAGACAGGTGGATCTTACAACAGATCAGATAAGGCGTGAGGATAATTGAATAAACGTTCGCATATTTATAAGTCAATGTGTTTGCCATCTGCCGCGAAAAAACTTAAGCATGTGGAAATGTAATAATGGCTCCAGGGTCGCGAAATGGCCCGACGGAGGCGTGAGATTTCGGCTTGATTTGAGTGATAAAGTTGCATTGCGTATGACCCAAAAGCACTGCAAGCGATGCTCGGATGTAGCAGGAAGCGAACAAACGGCTCCGGAATATTTTATCAATAGTCGTAGGTTCCTGCGGCCGTGCTTTGCATAACAAGAGTCAGGTGCATGGATACAAATTACACAAAGAGGCGATTGTTTTTGGATGAGATGCATCGCGGCTTTGAACTTCGAACGTTCTATACTGGGGGTGGCACGTGCTGAGGGCCTGAGATCACACACCAGTTTTGCCAACAGTTAGCGATAAATATGCGAAGATTTATCATTTATGACATCCGGCGTTTGTTCGGTACCGTTAGAATACGAATTTTTGATTAGACGATGCAAAAATGGACAGTTCCGGACGATGAACCAAAAGTATGTAGGGGAAAGTTGCCTAAATTGAACTCGAGAGACAGTGGTGCAGCGAACAAAATCAGGCAGAATTATTTTGTAGAGGTAATAAAACTAAAATTATATTTTACAAACAACCAAATTAGACTTCGAATCTTATGTAGGAGAGTACAATTATTATCGATGTTGTCAACTAAAGAAGATTCACAAATTTTTACTTTTTTTATCTTGTAAATTGCGGCAAAACTGTACCTAAAACGTATAATATTATATGTAAAATGTTCTGAGATATACATAGATTGGCGTTGTGCAAAATAGTTTCAAAGTTATAGTTGAATTAATATTTTGAATAATTTTGATTTTATCAGCAATTTTCTCGATAACTATTTGATGTAGGATAATCATCTTATTTCTATGTGATAAAAAATTATTTGCTTTCCAACGGTACCAAACAAAAAGGACTAGTGTCAATAATTCTGAAGTTATTAGCAATAAACCGCCACAGGTACCGAAACTCGCCCAGAATTTTGACAAAAATCGAAAAAATTAAAAACGAGATAATATGCTATTCAGTCGTTAGAAAGAAATGCATCTCTTATGAAGAAACCGATAAAAGTAAAATGATTTCTAAAATATTGAGACCAACTCAAAATTGTGATAAGAAAATTGGTAGCAGTTTATTTCCCGCAAATTTTGTTTGTGTTTGGCTTTTGTTACCAGAAATTACACTATTTTGACTTTTATGAATTTTGTCTTTACTTCTGCTTGATACTGCTTTTTGAATACTACCTACCTGATATTTAACAAACTTCTATTACAATTGTACTATTGTGTTCAAATATTGACGGTGTTTTTTTTATAACTTATGCTTTCACATTATTCAAGAATTGTTGGTACCGAATTAAATATTCTTTTTTTTCTTTACTTTCGTCACGTTTAGAAACATAGTTATAAAAATAAATCAAAAACAGCAATTGTCAACTCTTTTTATTGAAACTACCTACCACAAATGAATTTCTAGTGGGACTAACATTCAGGTTATTTGACATTTTATTCAAAAAGCATAATCATATCTGGTCGTAACACTAAAAAAATTGTAAATTTTGTTTGGTTTAATTGTAATCAAAATGGTATTGAAGAAAGTTGTTTTTATGGGGCATAATATTTTTTTTATTTTTTGATAAAAATTTGACCAACATTACAATCAGCTCTCCCCTAGTTAGGGTTGCTTGAGATTTATTCGGGCCTAATCACGAAAAGAGGCTCATGATAGGTAGTAAAATATTGTTTATGGCTAGTTTATCACTCGAAGGTAAACAACCTCGTAGTCAAGCTGGAACCCTATTTTTGTGCACTAAACGATTATATTCCCGTCGTTACCACTCGGAAAATAAACAATAATTTACAACAAAAGTGATAAATTACATAAATAACGCTATCTTTGATCTCTCCAATTTAAACCTTCGATACCCATGACAAGCAACCATCAGATATGGTAGCCAAGCATATTAAAGGGTCATAAATCCGAAGAGTTCGATTATCTATCCTTCCAGGCTTCCAAAGCTAAACACCAGAATCGATATTTCTATACATCAACATAAATCACGTTTGTTTCTATGCTTAGCCCATCAGGAGCACGTGCCACCGCTATGCCTACACTCCTCGAATAAATCAAATCGAATTTAGATAATTTGCGTTCGTTTATAGTTAAGATGGGAAAAACGTGTTCTGAGTGTTGACACCACTTCCTTAGCCGGCGCTCGTAGGTGAGTCTTAATTGGAAGGGTGGCTGCGATGGCCCGGAACAGATGTTGCTCCACTATCGGTGTCCATATGGCCCGGCAGCTGCCGAAGAGATTGGGACATCGCGGACGAGACGAAGAGGGGGAGGGGGGACAGGTGGCGCACGTTTAGGGCTCGTGCTTTTTTCCTCCAAGCTAGGAAAAAATCCTCCGATTTTGAGACTAATCAGAACGATGCTAGCACGTGGCAGGTGAGCGCGAGCAGATGCAACTCAAGTGGACCTAGATCCGGTCAGCGAACCGGCTCGTTACGTCAAGTTTGCAATTTTTACTAGATGGACTGCCGCGGGATAAATCTGCGGTTCATTGTTAATGTACTGCTTATGGCAAAGAGGTTTTTACCGATTCTGGCCGAGGCAGAAGCGTTATGTGACCCACATTTTAAACCTCTCCCACACATCTTGTAGCACCAATAAAATATGGATATTTACTCACGGAGAGCGCATTGTATGGTGATTTAATGTGGCACTACTGTGGACGCCACAAAACGCATAAATGCATTCAAATCAATAAAAATTTAATACAATTTGTATTTGACGCTTACTTTTAAATCATTTTGGAATGCTCAAAAGGAAATGGCCGCAAGCACAAATGAAAAATACAAGAGAAAAAGGGTATCCAACTTGAAAAATGTGTGAACTATCTGTGAAATATTCTATTATAGGTCCACTTTAATATTCACCTGCGTATTTTCGTAAAACAGCTATTTATTATTTCATTACATTTTTCATTTACAATTGCATAGATGATTTTGTGTGATTTAATAACAAGTTATTTATAACAAAAATGTTAACCAAGAAAGACCTAGCTTGAATTAGACATTATGTATAATTTTTGACTTGATACCGTAAAATCAGTACAGGTACCTACCGAAATTATGTTTCTTTTATTTTTATGCTATATAAAAGCCACAACATACCAAAAAAGACTTATTTAATTTTTTTTAATATAAACAAATTATATATTTTATGTTTTGTGTTTAATGAGTTTAATAAAGTTTATTTCCATCATATGTTACATATTTTTAAGGTGTCAAAGTACCTCCCAGGCTAGCATAACTTTTTCAACGTAATTACAGGTACTGTCAAAATAGTCCGAAGTCGGGGTATCTTTGACACCAAGTTTTCATTTTTTTTTTTAACTATGATTTTAAGTTTGTTTGTTGAAGCAGAAGGATCAATTTCTGATGCTAATTTTTTGTAAGAAAATATTGCAACAAATAAAAGAGTTACATTAACAAGACCTCTCAAACTATGTCAAAGTAACCCCGTTTTACGGTCATTTTGAATTGAAGTTATGCGAAAAATTCGACATTTTTTTATGATCTTGATAAAACATATATCTTTTTATTTATTTGGGCCTCCTGTGTAGATTTTTGCGCCTCGAATTTGGGCTTTTTTGTGACGAATCGTTTTTTGGCATACCCACATCTTTTTATTTTTGTTCTGTCTTCGCTGCCGTCAACTTGTCAACGTCTAGACTGAAATCTAATAAAACTGAGAGTCTAGTGAGTCACTACAAATCGTTCGGAAGTAGTTCCAGTGCCAAATTGCCGACCAAGTTTTTTATTAGTCATAATCACGGTCTAGTGGATCCGGCACGCGTGGTGGCGACCTCCCCTAAAGAACCTAAGGTTACAATGGTCCCCTCTCGCCTCAAACTGTGCCATAATTGATTGAAAGAAACCGATTTATTGATAACAAGAACTGTAACTTATCGTTTGCTTCACCGAGATTTAAAATTAGAAATTCATCGCGTTGGTTAAATTGTTAGTCAACTTATACGCAGAGCTCATTCATCTTGGAGGCGACTGTACTCAAGCCCCATTTCATTGTATTCAATTAGGATTTATACAGGTACGAGCCGCCCAGCAACTGTTTTTCGTATCTTTGTCTTCGACGTGGGGCAAAAACCTTCCATCTATGGTGCATTTCGCTTTTCTACCTTTACTTGCACGTAAATCATGGAGGCGTTGATATTTCCCGTCCTCCTCCATCTTGTTTCCCCGAGGTTGGATTGTCTCCCTCTCGCTTGTTTTTCTACGACCACTGCGACCAGGTAAGGTGTGTTCGAGAGGTAACAGCACATGGTCAAGAGATTTTCATTAGTCGACCAGCAGCTGCGTAAAGAATACCTTCTTTCGCTCACACTACAGTTACGTGAGACCGGTAATAATAATTATTAAATGCGGCCTAGTTTGGTGTAGTGACCATGTTTTGTGGCGGTAGTTTTCGCACAAAAACGGTGGAAAAAAACGATGAGTATAAAATCGTCACGATGAACAATACTCAAATCAAAATTTTTCGCTCGTTGAGCTTGTCGAAGGCGGACAAACCGCGGAGGATCTTCGTCTTGCCGCCGAAGGTGCCCATGGTAAGTCCACACATGTGGCCATAAAACGCTTTATGGCCACGCTTTGAACTTAAGACCTGGCCGCCTCCAAGGCTGGAACATTCGCGGATAATATATGTTCAAGTCTTCCAATTGTGATGATTCGGTTCCCCTCTCCAGACGCGAGACTTAAAATATCCAAAAGCGCGTCCCCTTCAAACACCCGCACCCCAAATTCCAGACCCGGACTTTGTATAATCTGGCTTTTAACCGCATCCGATTTAGTAATTGAGTTTCCTCTGGAAAAAAGATCAAGGCTATGAGCGAGCGTCATTCGAGGCGTTATTTTCGAATTTTTCCCGGTAGTTGGTGATAATAGAAAAAATCAACAATCGCGCAATCAGCTTCCTCGAGGACGGTCCTGCTGACTAACACCCATGCGGTGTGGCTTATGATGCCTCAGTCAGTTAACAAATGCCGAACGAAACATGTGCTAGTGCTGTGACTTGTGAAGGGTGCTATGTCGTGGATAAGGAGGTCCACCCGCCGAAGGGCTGACGATTCGGATTCAGATGATTCGGTATTTTTGCCCTTTTTTCACATAGTTACTCTATTATTGTCGCGACCGGAATTCCTTCACTTATTTTTATTGACCTTACGTGAACATGGCGATATTTACTCGTTATCGGGCGCCGGGCGTCTGTTTCCTTTGTGTGAGGCAATTTTAATAAAACTGAGCGACCCCTTGGACGTGTCTTATCTCGAAAAGGGGTCTCCAAATATTTTTCCAGTGCATGCCTTGTCCGTAATTATGTTAAATGAGCGATGAGTGTTTGTAATTTACATTTGTAAGCCAGATGAGATGTGTAAATTGACAACAATGGATATAGGTTTTAATTGCTGGGAGATCATTGACAGATGTTCTTTACGAGCCTGCCTTTTCAAAGAAACATTTTGAACAAATAAAGACGAACGAGAGACATAAAAGAAAGTATCGCAAACAGAGACCTGTTTTCGGTTTTCTTTCGGATGCACAGAGGAAAAAATGGAACACTTTGTGGGAAAACATCTGGGGAGGTATTATTTTATGCAGCGAGTTTTTCTGGGAAATTTAATTCATTTATTTATCTTGCATACTATAAACGCGCATTATTTACACAAAAAAAAATCTGCTGTCTATTAATATACAGAAAGTGCATTAACTTTGTTTCAAATAAAACTTAGTTCAATACCGCCCATCAAGCTAAAAATCATTTCCTTTCACTTTTGATTAAATCTATTCGGATTTTGTTTGAAATGTGATCACTTTCTACCCCAGCGCGGCAATTAATTTTATTCTTTTTTGCTAAATGGCAGAAATTGCGTGGTTTTGAGCTAGAAATAGGATCATGTGACCTTAGATGCAGTGATATATAGTTATGATATGGTTTCAGCTTGAAATCTCCTTAGTTGTTCAAAAGAAAAATAAATTATTCCGCTTCAAAAAGTCAGATTACGGTGCCAATTTTTGGGGGGAACGTTTGTTTGCGTTGGTGATAGAATTTTACATTAATGTTTGTAGAATACACTAGATTTTTTTTATTCAAATTTATTTTAAATTTGCTAATTTTGAAAATAAACATTTCTTGGATTTTTTAATGTTAGAACTCTTAAATCACGTGAATTAAGAAACCGATTCAAGTTTGCTTTGTTACAAAATGTACGAAAAAGTGAAATTTTTGTAGCAAAGTTGTTGAAACCTGATGTACAAAGAAATTAGCAAAATAAAAAATTATCCGCAGCATATCTTTCGTAAGTACAAACTTAAAAATTTATGAAATTTAGCTGAAATTGCCTGAAATGTTCCGTTTTTAAATGTTTGAGTAGTTTGTAATTTTAAAAAATACAAACTTCATACTCATGCTCACTCACTGTTGATAACGCTTATCTCTTCCTATTACTTATCCGTTATTGTGTGAGATAATAAAACTACAACAACTCTCTGTTTAAAAAATGTATCTATTTGGGTGAGAACTCCGTCTCAAGTAGAATCGATAGTCTCCTCCCATCTTGTAAATATCCCGTTACTGCAGCAAACAGTCGAAAAATCCCTCAACCACCCCCAGGTTCCCCTCGTCGATGACTCACCGTCTGCATCAGGGGAGTCTTGATTACGACATTTACCCTTTAAAACCGCCAGCGATTTCCCTCTTTTAGATCTTGCAGTCATTTCGTCACCTTGGTGCACTTAATTAAATTAAAGTAACCCGCATAGGCATGCACCACACCCCATGCGTGTTCGAGTCTAGTGTCGCCAACATGTGCGCTCTTGTGCAAGGTTCAACGGATTCGGTGTCAAGGCAATTATCGTAATAGACCTTTATCTAAGTCCGAGTATATCAATTGGTCTTTATTAGTTTGTGGGTAGCCAATTAGCCGCCTCTTGATTTAAAGGCGCAAAACGCGAGAAGAGACTTGGGTCGACGTCTTGGCGACGCACCAAAATAGAACTCGGGAGGGTTACAGTCGCCAAATGATCGGAATTAGGCGCGTTTTCCGGACTGATGGCGCTGTCTTTGCAAGAGTAAAGTCCAAGTGAAACGCGAGTTTTTGCAACGACGACATTGGTATTGCATAAGTCGGGTGGATTTCCTCGAGGAAACATGATTAATTGGGAGTTATTAGAGCGGATAATGACAAAATGCGGCTAATTTCTCATCCAACTTGTTTGAAAGTTTTTTCATTAAAGTCCAAAATTTTACTTTTGCGGGATGGCACCTGCGAGGTCAGTTGCTGCTTTAATGCAATTTGCTTGTAGCAACTGTACACCACGAACTCTTTGAACCATTAAATCGAGTTCAGTTACAACGTCCATGGGTTTTAACGCGATTATTGTCGTTATGGTACATTGCCCTAATGCCATGGAAAGGTGTTCACGAGATGACGAACGCAATTACATTGGGCCGCCGACTGGAAAACTCTTCATTTACGATCGATAACACGACATTTATCCGCCCATTTGTTTTCTATAACTGCATTTGTGGAGCAACTGGTGATAGCGTCGGTGGCCTTCAATTCGCCAAAGATACATAACGAGATATATTATGATAGTAAACATGACATTTAAAGCTTCGCTTGAATAAAAATGATTATTTTGTCATTACAATTTTAAGTTTTCTGTTTTCTACTCGTGGCCGTGCTGTTTTAACACTCGTTTGAGTGTTGAAATGTTGCTGTGACAATTTTGTTACTGGCTAGATCAGCTTTAAGTAAATTTAATACTTATTAACAGAAGTTTCTGTTCGATTGTTTTAACATTTTACTTTAAATGTCAAAGCAGAAGGTATTATATATATTTTTTTTGAAAAAGTGTACGACCTGATGTGACAGAGGAATAAAGTGGATTATTTGAAGTATAATTTATGGGTGTTTTTGTTATCGATTTTGCGCAAGACCTCGTTTTTGCACTAACCGAGAAAATGCATTTCCACTGTTTGTCGAGTGGATGAAATTGATCGGAAGTGACGTCATTCTGATATCTTACAACCAATAAGATTATTAGTTTTTTATTCATTTCCGGTTAATTCAGTAAAAGTGCTAAGCACTTGGCACTTGAAGGCGTCTCTTATAGTTTGAAGTTCATGGTTTTGTGTTCATTTCTTTTGGCAACCATGTTGTTTGTTGCCACTAGAGTGAATAAATAAAAACTCCTTTCCGGGCAAAATTTCATAGCAAGTCGACAATAAAGCGGTTGTACACCGCTGTCAACAACTCAAGCGTCGAGTCCTTGAAACAAATTGCTTTATATCGTTTGTCATTCTGGCGACAATAACAGCAACCCTTTTATGATCCGTCCCTCGCGCTTCATGTTGGAATTTATTTTTCTAAGCGCGCGATTTCCGTTCCTAATCACAGCGTTGCATTCGAATCGAAGTGTGCATAGACCGGATGTTCTTTAATTCGTCCCTTAGGACTTCCAACTTCCGGCCGATCATTGTTACCAAAGCCAGATGTTGCTACGTTCTATTTAAATATTATTAGACGCAGATGCGATGCGACATTTTGGCGGTAATCGAATCCGATTGGCACACTTGACCCTGTGGTGGGGGTTGATGACCCTCTTCACTACTCACATTCAAAGGAACGCGGCCACAAGCTATCGACCGATTTTACACGGAACGTGGAATTCTGACCCTGAAATTGCACATGCGGACTCTAATTCATTCACTTTGACGCTGATGGGCGAGGTCTATTCACATTTTGCCAGTTTTTTTTATGACTGTTGTCCTAAATCCGGGAACGTGTTGCTCCTGGCCCCTAACAGGATCAATTTATAACGTGATTATCCTTTACGTTATCCTGAGATACGGACCGGATAGAAAGCTAATGCCCCGTCCCCTGTCACATAAACGGAAATAAGCTTTTCCTTACATCACCCGGAATCTTCCCCAGAAAAAACCACTGAAATTCGATCAAATGACCGTGACGAATGTTTGACATACGCCTGGGGTCAACGGCAACGCGACAACCACTCCTAATTAAAGGGGCCGAGACCGGACACGTGTCCGGGTGTTAACCGTAATGCCCTCGCCCTTCAACCCAATAATAATGAGCAAAATTTATAAGGGGACGCTAAGCAGTCATCATGAATTTTTTGTCACAAGTAAAATCTTTCCCAGTTTTGCTCCTCCCTCTTGGAAGTTTATAAACAGCACAATCGGTGCCAAAATTGAATTTCTCCAATCTCTCCCCTCGATACAATCGTGCAACCCTTCCGGCGAAAAAACCAACCCCAACATATATTTCGGCGAGCTTTGGGATTTTTCACCCCTCCGACGTGTGCCGATCCGGTCTCGTCCTAGTCCGGACAGGACTCGGGCGGCTGCGGAAAGGATCCCGGGCAGTGTGACGTCATACACGGAAGCATCTCTACCGTTCCGTCCATGCCGTTTTACCGGTTCATTTTCCGAGTGTGCTGTGCTAGATTACGTTTCAAATTTTACTATTACATGATCAGGAAGTCGTGGTAGATGGGTGCCACAGTGAGACATGTTCAAGGCTTGGAAATTCGGAAAGGTAATCACAAGGAAACATTTATTCCATGCACCTGTCTTGTTATAATGATATGCAAATTTTGTCAGTTTAGTAGGCCTTGGCTAGAACGGGGTGATTCACCCTCGAAAGCAGATGTCAACTTGATTCAATTACTATCCTGATTAGTGTCATGATGAGTCACGAGGGTGGTGGTACCAGTAGGTTTTTTCACAAACGGGAACACTCGTACCAACCTTTTAACCATAATCAACTTTCTTCCACAAACGTGACATTTCGACCTAAATCACCGCCAATTCGTCTTCTGTTTTTTTTTCCTTGTTACTCTACACATCGAGCGTAAAAATTTAATTGCGTGCAAAGCAAGGGTGTGAAATGACCTTAACCCGGATCCCTAAATTATCAAAAAAAAATCAATTTGAATTTAAATTTAATGAAATTCTTTTCTTTCCGTTTAGGAAGCGTATCGCTTGATGCAAATTCACCTTCCTGTTTTGTTAAGTCATCCAATTCCGTTACTGTAGCGACGCTCGTGGCGTTTTTTTATTAATAAAATCCCTTTTTCCAGGGTCTGGACCCCAGCAATTCGACACAATTGCGTCCGTTGACCTCAGAGATCACTGCTCCGAGGATCGACAGTTACCGATTTTCGATGGCCAATCTCCAGGACTCGCAGGATGTAGACCTGGACGCCATCCTCGGCGAGTTGTGCGCCCTTGAAACGCAGTGCGAGAGGGAGATCGGACATGCACGGGATAGCAAGCGACTCTCAGGTGGTATTTATCATCCGGAGGGGGATTTTTTTTCTAATATAGGGGAGTTGCAGACCAAAAAATGTCACAGCACATGTCTAGGACGCACAGCAGGTCGTCTTCAGAGGGGCCCAGACTGAAATTGGACGCCGGGGAGAGCGATTTAATGTCAAAGACTGATTCAGTTCGAACGGAATCGCCAGATAATGATTCCGCTTTTAGTGATACTGTTTCGATGTTGTCGAGTGAATCGTCGGCGAGTAGTGGGGGGTCCGGGTCGAAGCCTCAAACTCTACACCTTCAGAATCTTCAGGTAACTTGAAGTTTTCATTGGGGGTCCAGGTGTTACTGTTTTGTTTTGTCAGGATGAAGCTTCAAGGGTCAAGGCAGAGAAGATCCGAATGGCGATGGAGAAAATCAAGGAAGCCAACATCCAGAAACTGTTTGTTAAAGTTTTTACGGCTGATGGTTCAGCCAAATCTTTATTAGTAGATGAGAAAATGTTATGTTCGTATGTTACAAGGTTGTTGATGGATAAGAATCATGTGGAAGCTGACCCCAAGTGGGCGATAGTTGAACATTTACCAGAGTTGTATATGGGTAAGTCTTTGTTGGCTTTAAGACGATTTAAGGTAAATTTTGCTGTTTCCAGAAAGGATATATGAAGATCACGAACTCCTTGTCGATAACTTGATGGTATGGACCCGCGATTCCAAAAATAAAATTTTCTTCTCCGAACGTCCAGAAAAGAACAAACTGTTTCTAGAGCCTGAGAAATTCCTCTTATCAATGACTGATAAGAAAGATTCTTTAGACTATGACGAACATTCGCGTAATATGCTTCTGGAGGAATTCTTTTCTACCGGATCGTCAAGTGTTCCCGAAGTTGAAGGTCCTCTGTATCTCAAAGCCGACTCCAAGAAGGGTTGGAAGAAATACCATTTTGTACTTAGAGCTTCAGGGCTATACTACTTCCCTAAGGAAAAAGTCAAGTCGGCCAAAGATCTAGTCTGCTTGGCCACATTTGACAATAACCAAATCTACTTTGGTTTAGGTTGGAAAAAGAAATACAAGGCCCCGACTGATTTCTGTTTCGCTATTAAACATCCCCGACTTCAGGAACCCAAATCAACAAAATACATCAAGTATCTTTGTGCTGAAGACCAACAAAGTCTCGAACGTTGGATGGTTGGTATGAGGATAGCCAAATACGGCAAACAGCTCATGGATAACTACCGCGCCCTAATGGACGAACTCGCTCAAGAAGACCTCGACATGTTAGCTCATGCCCGGAGTTGTTCAGTGAGTTCCATCGCGGTCCAATCTAATGTCACCACCCCCTCGCAGGGGTACCCCAGTAGTGAAGCTGGGTATGGTACCCAAAGCGAGACCTACTCAGCTCCTAGTGAAGCGAGCTCTGGCCGCCACAGTCGGGCGAGTAGTTCAAGCTCGTCGGGGTGTATGTCAGATGGGGCCCCCTCGAGTTGCGAAAACGCTTTCGATTCCGAGTTTCCCATGGGTACCATCAAACGCAAACCTAGTATGAAGCCTAGTCTTCCCCTCACAAACATAACGAGGCAGTTGAAAGAGGTAGGTGAAAAAATATAGTATATGATGTTGGTATATCATTGAGTGTAGGTGGGGGAAACCCGCGATGAAATTGATGGTACTGCCCTTCCTTCGAGTCCTATCAACTCTGGGACGCTCACACGGCGTCACAGTCGTCGGAAATCTAGCAACTCCACCGACGATTCCTCCAATTCGGGGACATTGAAAAGGCAGCATTCGTACAAGGCGAGGGGTTCTATTGAGTCTATGGGGGCGAGGAGTGGAAATTCGACTCCTTTGTGTGGGACTCCAGTGAGAGAAAGGGCGTCACCGTTTGGGGAAAAGGCCAGTCCTTTCGCCGAAAGGCCCCCAAGTGGTGGGTCAGTGAGAAGTCCCATCAGTCCTACCAACATGGAGATGCCTTCATGCATGGTAAGATGTTTAAATTTGTATTTTTCACAGACTAACCACAATTTTAAGAAGGAAAATTCAGGAGATAACTTCAGACAGGCGAGGGCCCTGCTGCAAAAGCAGCTAATTTTGCGCCCGCCTACTTATACTAAACCATTGATTTAAAAATTGTCACGGTATTGTTTTCATTTTTTATTTTGCTTTTTGTTTTGCTCTTTTGTTGATATGTTTGATAGGAAATAAGGAGAGGTTCACCGGATATCAAGCGCCTTTGTTCCAGTGCATTAATTTTTAAAAACGACGCAATTATAAGTGGCATTGTTAACGCGAAAGATAATGTTGCCACACACATAACTTCTTTAGAAAAAGTTTGAATTAGCTTAGTGAACTAAAAGTCCACAAAATCTATGTATGCAAGCAAGCATATCTTTTATTTGATACTTACTAATAGAGATAATTAAAAGAAATCTAATTAAAACTTAAGTTTCTCTTTAAAAACACAGAAAATTTAAACGGTGACAGTATCATACATTTTTAATAAATTAAAATAAGAGTTTTTTTAACATTTAGGCGCTTGTTACGTTTAAAATCAGGAGTTTTCAGCGACATTACAATTTTATCGATGCTTTGAAGTCATGGAAGCATGAAACTCCTTTGTTTTATAATTCTTTTAATCTTTTATAGTTTACATATCTTAAAATCTCACAAAATATTTGCATTTTTACGACTTTAGGTACGATATTTTCCGTGGGTTAGAAAAAAGAACATGTTTTTTTTTTCAATAAAAAATTATTTTGCTTATTGCTTAACTAACCATAAATTTGCCTCGTCGCCATTTTGTCTCGTTCAAAAAGATGTCGCTTTTGTGCCGTTCCGTGATTCCCCCAAACTCGTCTTAACCCCAATTTTTATTTTTCAGACCGATTCCATCACGTCTCTACCTCCACCACCGGAAACCAACGGTGACGTGATCACTGATTCACCCTCGTACCAACTCCCGCCGCCCCCACCAGAAGTGTACAACTCTAATTTATCGCTGGACAGCCTCCCGCCACCACCTAATCCGAACGAACTGCCCCCAATGACTGGCACCGAACTTACCGGAAGTCAATTATCGCTCATGTCCCTACCGCCGCCCCCGGGCGAACTCGACACAAATACGATCCGAAAACGAAAAGACAGCGTTACCCCCACGAATGTGTTAAGTCCCGACAGAACGCCCACGATGTCGCCCGATCAAACTCCAACACAATCCCGGCTGAATACGCCCTGTTTTAGCCCTCCGTTGTCGAATGTGGGGTCGAATTGCAGTACTCCAACCCAGCAAAACCCTCCTGTTAGTTTCAGTTTGAACCAATACGTGCAAATTGCGGCACAGAACCATGACAGAAACGAGGGTACTACGAATGGGTACCCCCAACCTCCGGCGTATGTGAATCCCCCGAACTACCGACAGTCCAACACTCTCCCGGGGAATCCCCAATTTAATAATAATAACGGTTTGAGGTCGTCTCTGAGGCAAACCTCACTGCCTAGACAGATTTCCTCCAATAGTATAGCGAGTAACAGTTCGGGCTCTTCCGGAAATTCTTATTCCTACAATCAGAATTCGCAAAACTCTCCCCATTTACAACGTAAAGTCAACTTCCAAGACTGTTCGAGTCCGAAAAAGACCATAAAGAAGATCAGTTTTAATTTGGTGCCCCAGGAAGTGCCCCCTTTGCCGAAAAAGCCGCCACCGCCTAAACGATCCGACAGTACGAAATTATCAAGTCCGAAAAAACTAGTGGAACCCCCGATGGATTTCCTCAAGGACTTACAAAGGGTGATGAGAAAAAAATGGCAAGTGGCCCAAAAGTGTAAACTGGAGCCCACGACGACGCCACACGAGGTGTTGGGGTTCCGGGATCCCCCGATTTTGCTCCCAGATTACAAGGAACACAACGTTTCGAATTGGGTGCAGGAGCACTACGGACCTAATAATGTCTATGAGAACGTTTACAGGGACAACCCTGATACTGTGGTGGAATACGCGACGAGTCCCGTTCATGTCCGAAATGAGTTCGGGAGCGGTCGGAAGCGGCCGCCACCCCCACCCCCTAAACGCAGCGAAACGACTCATCTGAGTACGCCCAAAATGCACTGATGCTGCGTCTCGTAATATGGCTTGGAAAAATAAACGCATATCATATAATGGCTTTCGCAATATCCTAGTAGAATTTTATTTTTGGGGTCGGACGTATGTGTGCTGCTTATTTTTCAAGTGATATGTCGTTATACTGCCAGCAATCCCTGCCTAATGGCTATGTGATTTAAATTTAAATGTGCCATGTGAGTTAAGACACTTAAGTTTTTGTAAATATCTCGCTCTTAGTGAATTTCATTGAAATGTCAAAACGTTTATGGTGCTTATAGTTATAAAATAGAATAGCGAAATTGTGTTTTATAAATTTTATAACCATTTTTTATCAAAATTATTTAACAATTTTTATATAACAAGTTACAGGGTTGAAGTCAGTTATTTATTTTCTTGTTTTATTTTTGTTCATCTCATTTTTTCTTTTGTATATAGTTTTTTTAATGTTCCCGCCGAGTTAGGCTCAAGTAATTTATAGTAATAAGTGTACTTTGTATGATCCCCAATTTTATAATCGTATACAAGATCTCCACAATGCCATTGTCTCATACATTTTTGTATATTTTATACCAACTTAAAAATATTTCTAGTGTATTTAGAAATATTGACTTTTAGGTACTTGTAGATTAATTGTTGTCAATGCAACAAAAACGAAATTTATATTTATCAAAAATTTAGGAAATTTATTGCGTTTTTTATACGTTTCGTGTGCAATTTTTAAATTATTGAAGTTTATGAGAAATTATATAAATTTTTCTTAGCACAAGAATTTATAAGGCGTTGTAGGCTAAATCAAATTGATATATTTTAAGTATTCAAATCGGTATAAATATTTTTTCTGGATACTAATCCTTCAAACTGAGTACTTTGTATACAGTCTACCATTTCTATATACTAGTTGTTATTATTATAGTATTACAACAATAAATATATTTAAAGAAACAGTGGCTTATCAATTCACCGCTAAATCAATAACCTGTTTGTATGTGATCTTTTCATCTACTGATAGTACACAACCTAGTCGAAGATTAAAATCTACAAAATGATTATCTTGAAAACTGATTCTAGAATCAAAATTTAGTACCTAAATGTATAATAATAATAATTTGTGGTGTGAAGACATCAAAGATATACGTATACAAATTACGACAATATCGACTAGAGGCGACCACGATAAGTGTATCGTGGAGGCGACCGTATTTTTTTATTATGTAGCCATCTATTTCCAAAACTTTCTACTGTACAGTTCTACATTGACTTAGTTCTAGTTGGGCACTGTACTTCTCATTTTAACACTCTTTTTATTTAACCTATTGGTCTATAGATGGCGCCAGAGATAATAGATTTTGGTGATTTGACTTCATTTAAAAAGTTCTCCAAAGTAATAAATGGATGTCATAAAATTGAATCAGCAAAGGATTAAGTTGAGAGTCAGGTAATTAAAAAATAATTATGCATGAGTAGCTTGTTTGTCTTTGTTTCCATTGTGAGCATCTTCAAAGTGACGTCGATCAAAGCGTTTTGTAGTTCCTAGTTTATTGAGTTTGAACAGTCTTTACAAGATCTTGTTGGTTCTGTGGAAGACAAAGCGCAATTTGAAGGTCTGGAAAATGAGTTTGCATTGTTAAGGCGTGGAAAAAAGGGTGTCTCAAAAATGGAAAAGAGATGAAGTTGATGTCTACCGGACTTGAATGACATAGTGCGGTCGTGACGTCCACCATTAATAAAAGAACAAAGTTCAACACGGCGTTATTTATCAAAAGTCATGTCGTAAAATTATTTAGTATCTTTTGTGACAAACGTCGGTTAATTTTTCGGGCGCAGTCCTTAGGCCTCCTAATGGCCAAAGTTAAGACACTTTATTGCCAGTCTTTGCTCCTCAAATATTTGCATGTCGGCGCACAAACAACACTATTGTGGACCGGTCGCGTGACAAAAAATATTTTATCTTCTCAAATTCGCATTATTGTTACCTCTAATTCAATTTATCTGACATGGAAATTGCTGTCTCCAAATCGATAAATTCCCTCGCTGTAAATTGCCARATTCCTTTTATTCGGGGAGGGTGCAGCGTTGCATTGTTGATGATGATGGATGCGCCCGGCTGACACCCTGAGAACTCAAGCAACATCTCTTGTTTCTAGGTCGGACCCCAACTGCACTATTGTTAGGCAAAGGAACACTGCTCTTATCCTCGGTGCTCCCTTTCTTCAGGCTTCGACACCACTGATCTATATTTTATTCAATACAACTATCAAATCTGATCGATTGCGGTTCGTTAGGACATGGAGAGGCTTCTAGAGGCTCGCACACACAATCGAAGAACTTGCGTCGCAAAACTTTACCAAACACTAATTCGATTCAACAAAGTTTTCATTTTCAAACAACTGGACAGCGGAAACATAAATGGGAGCTGGAACGACCCAAGAAGCAACGAAATTAGAGGAAAAAATACGAAACAACATTGGTGTGCTGCTGATCTTCTGAAGCAATTAAATTATGATTTACAATGACGAATTTAATTTCTTTAAAAAAATATCATACTATTAGTGAAACAATCTTGCTGTAAATTCTTGCAAACGTAAAATGTTTATAACATTATGAAAACCTAATTTACCAAATAAAAACATAGCTACCATAAAAATGTGCATCCAAATTTTCGTGTCATTGTGGAATCTATTGTTAGACAAGGATAATTCTTTAGTCAAGTAAAGAAAAAAATTAGAGGAATTTACATAGAATACCAACCTACTATACATACCTAGTTTAATTTTTGATGATCAATAATACGGTTTTTTTAAATCTCCTGAATACATAATTAAAATGATTTTTTTACAAATTTTATTTTATTATTAAAAAAAAAATTGATAATTTTATACAGGGTGTTTACGGTCTTGGAGTTGAAAATTGACTTGCTGGTAATAGAAGAGTGCAGAACTAGAGTGTAACAGAGAAAAAAAACTCACAGAATTGTTCTTATTAAGAATGTTATTTATTGGTACAAGGAGGATTGGCATTATTATTAGAAAGTTACATTGTTGCAACAAATAAGAAAATCGTATCCACGACAATGAAAGAGAAAATTCAGTTTATTGTTTTGACCTTGTCATCATTTCGTTTGCTTTTGTCTGAGTTTTTATCAAAATTCGAAGAACTTCTGTTAAATCACTGTTTTCTAGTAGGTTTAATCTGTTTTCTCTTGATTTTTTTTCAAATTTGTAAATATGGATCACAATATTAAAATAATAAATAAATTGTCATGATTATGATTTCCGGTGAAACATAACGTAATGGCACTAATAGCAATTGTTGTAGCCAAAGCATCTGTTCTCAAACAAATAATATTTATAACATGAATGATTTCCTTTCATAACGTAAATTTTTATTTTATATAGCGTATTAGTTTTCTTTTATGGTGTTTTATGGTGTAAACCGTAGTCTAAACCTATCATCTCTTTTATATTTCAACCTCAAGACTCTGTATATGAATATTTTAAATGTTTGTTTTTTTATATTCAATATGTAATATGTTGAATAATTGGAACAGGCAGAAAGATGCAACTTCCAACTCAAGTGTTCACTTCCGGTCTTCCGGTTGTTACACTCCAGTTGTCCGAATAAAGAAATTAAAAAATCAGTGCGTTTCTCACAGTGTCCTGCCTGGGAAGAGCCGGTGGTCATACAATGGCCGAATTAAGCCTAAAAATAAAACACAATATCTTGAGAAGGGTTATCGTATCTATATCGTCCGCCAGCTGTAACAATCGTCAATTCTAGTAGCCCTTCCGCGTCTCGTTGTAGCATTTTAAACGCAACCCTAATCAAGTCCGAGCGGACACTTCCGATTGACCAGGTACACGTCCTTGCAATCTTTTGCTTTCATTATTCAGATCGCACCTAAGTGACGCGTTCAAATATTAAAAAAATCCGGGTCGACGCCCCCGCTCCGGAATATTATTTGTAGTGGCGACCCTCGCGTAATTTGTCGATGGGTTTAATTGAATTTGACGGATCGGGGCCCGATTTTTCCGCTCGCGTTTTCCCACAACGCACCCGAATAAATAACAAGGAAACGATTGTAGGAAGTGTGGGGTAGATCAGGGTTCAAAGGTGAAAACGCAACGTACCTGCCGACTCGGGATGGGCCCGGAACCGGACTTCGGACACTTACATGATTTAGACGCCGCTAAAAAGTGTTACATACGTTTTAAATTACAATTTGAATGCCTGTCGACCGGCCTACTAAATTTGTAATTTCTAGTTCGAGGGGTGCTGACCACCTAGAAGGCTGAAATTAAAACGACCGTATTATAATGTTAAAGTGAATTTATTTCGGTTGAAGGGACAATTTTTTTCGAATTTTTCAAGTGATAGGGAGACGTTACATAAATAGCGGAACGGTAACGACAAGAAGCCCTTTAACCCTTTGGGCCACTAACAAAAAATAAATGGCCAACTGACCAAATTTTGACTCAACTGCTAGATAATAAATATTTCAATCCTAAAAAAATAAATAAACACTTATTCAAATTTTTTTATGGATACCTATTTATTTAATGTACATGTAGAGAGTGAGCAATAAATTTTGAATCAATGAAATTAATTCAAGAATGATAGTGCTATAATTTTTTTTTGTTCTTGAATTTTGCATTTTTAATGACAACTTATTATTAAATCTTTACCGTAAAAAATTAAATTCTAGTCTATCTATTGTACGAGTATACTCGTAATACTTTCAACATAAAAAATGCAAAATATTGCATAGTTTGTTACTAATTTTTATCATGATATTCATATTTAAATAAAAGTAAAAGCTTTAATAAGGCGGCAATAACTTTTATGAATGTTTTTCATTAAAATCAAAACTACAGAGAACACACTTTTACTTTTTTGTAAAAATGAGATGAAAACACAAAATAATTAGAAAATGACTTGTTCATCATTTATTTTTGTTTAAATTTACATGAAACCTTGTTTACACAGTCATTTTCAACATTTCTATTTTTATTATAGCTTTTTTTTTTGTTTTACTATTTGTGTTTGTTTTAAAGATTTATTTATTTGTATATGGAAAATATTCTATACTGGATATTTCACCTGGAGTAAATTCCGATTCGTTTCAAATCCCAGAATCAATATTATCGAACGTTATGAAAACATCTTATTTGGTCCTCCCTCGGGGCCCTTTTTCCGTGTCTAATCGTCCCTTTACTTCGTTAGGATCAGTGTTCGCGTTCTGGGAAATATTATTTCGCCGTTCATCTAACGAGTGTATTTATTTAAGTAATCGCGAACACTTGAGCCGGCAACTGCAACAATACTCCGATAATAATACAATAGCCAGAAATCATCCCTCTGTATCGAGAAATCAGTGAGAATCTGCCCCGTTTTCTCATAGTTATCCCCGTCAGGTACGGTTATCTATCATCGCGCACCCCTATGCCTTCAAGGGGTGAGTGCAACAGCTTCCCCTGGACCTGCATTCACCTGCTGGGGAGCGAACTGATCAGAATTCATGAAAAAAAAAACGGCAAGCACGACGTCAACCTGCCCAAAGAAGTGTAATGATATTTTAATAAAGACCGGTCAAGTTTTGGTATTCATGAAGGATTAACACGGAATCATAAATACGAAAGTCGCCTTGTTGATAAATGACCTCTGGTCAGAGGATTAAAATGGAATGACAATGTAATAAGCACGAAACGAATTCAAGTGTCAGGGCGGTTTCGCCCTGTATAGCCTGTTTCCTGTTGTTTCGGCTTTTCAGACATCTTGCTTTTCGGGATTTCGGGGTGGGTTTCAACGAGTTCAATGCTGAATTATAGCATGTTTGCTGTTGTAAACTACACTTTATAACGTGTTTTGATGCCGACAGAAGGTTAAGTGGACAATGAAACACGTTTTTGACACTTAGGGCACGAATGGATAAGTAACTCGAAAAA